ATCCACCGCGTTCTCTAAGATCACTAAATTCAAGGCTTCTGGTCATTCCTAGGATATCGAAGTCCACGAAAGGAGGGAGGGCATTCTCGCATTTAGCTCCAAAACTCTGGAATAGCCTTCCCGATACGGTCCGATGCTCTGACTCGCTGACACAGTTTAAAACTAGACTAAAGACGTGTCTCTTTAGTCAAGCATTCACATAATGCTTACCTTTTAGTCCTCTGCTATGCCATACGGAACCGTTTGCCACTGAAACTGCTTAACGCACCAGTGGGGCTCGACAGCCTTATAGACAAACGGGTCGGTCCGTATGGTTGCGGAGAGTTTGGGTTACGGAGAGTTGTGAGATTATGGTTTTCTAACACCTACTCCCGTGTAATGGAAATCATTATGAACATCAGCTATGCTAATTATTTCCCATCTGCCTTCTGCTGTTATCTCGGGACGCTTGTCCCGAGAAAAATGGCGTTCGTAGGCTCCAGTTTGGTATCCTGCCTCTCACGGGGATTTCGGATGCCTCAACGCCTGTGATGAGAAGACCAACGCCTGTGAAGAGACGACTCAACGCCTGCGAAGAGACGACTCAACGCCGGCGATATGTTATCCCCTAAATATTACATGATTAACTAAATGTATTTTTTCCAGGTACTCTCTGATATGCACTTACTGTAAAGCTTCTTTAAAACCCTATGATTGTTAGCCAGAGGAGAACTGGCCCCTGACTAGCCTGGGTTCTCCCAAGGTTTTTTTCTCCATCCAATCTGATGGAGTTTTGGTTCCTTGCCACTGTCGCCTTGCTTTTGGCTTGCTTAGTTGGGGATATTTAATATTCAACAATATTATTGAACTGTGTTGTACTACTTTCATGTTATCACTGTGAAGCTGCTTTGATGCAATCTGTATTGTGAAAAGCGCTATATAAATAAATGTGACTTGACTTGACTTGACACACACACACACACACACACCTGAAGGGGTTTATTCTGAGATCACAAACACACACACACACACACACACACACACACCTGAAGGGGTTTATTCTGAGATCACACACACACACACACACACACACACACACACACACACACACACACACACACACCTGAAGGGGTTTATTCTGAGATCACAAACACAGACACACACACACACACACACCTGAAGGGGTTTATTCTGAGATCACAAACACACACACACACACACACACACACACACACCTGAAGGGGTTTATTCTGAGATCACAATCACAAACACAAACACACACACACACACACACACACACCTGAAGGGGTTTATTCTGAGATCACACACACACACACACACACACACACCTGAAGGGGTTTATTCTGAGATCACAAACACACACACACACACACACACACACCTGAAGGGGTTTATTCTGAGATCACAAACACACACACACACACACACACATCTGAAGGGGTTTATTCTGAGATCACACACACACACACACACACACCCGAAGGGGTTTATTCTGAGATCACAAACACACACACACACACACACACACCTGAAGGGGTTTATTCTGAGATCACACACACACACACACACACACCTGAAGGGGTTTATTCTGAGATTACAAACACAAACACACACACACACACATCTGAAGGGGTTTATTCTGAGATCACACACACACACACACACACCCGAAGGGGTTTATTCTGAGATCACAAACACACACACACACACACCTGAAGGGGTTTATTCTGAGATCACACACACACACACACACCTGAAGGGGTTTATTCTGATATCACAAACACACACACACACACACACACCTGAAGGGGTTTATTCTGAGATCACAAACACACACACACACACACACACCTGAAGGGGTTTATGCTGATATCACAAACACACACACACACACACACACACACCTGAAGGGGTTTATTCTGAGATCACACACACACACACACACACACACACCTGAAGGGGTTTATTCTGAGATCACAAACACACACACACACACACACACACCTGAAGGGGTTTATTCTGAGATTACAAACACACACACACACACACACACACACCTGAAGGGGTTTATTCTGAGATTACAAACACAAACACACACACACACACACACACACACACACACACACACACACATCTGAAGGGGTTTATTCTGAGATCACACACACACACACACACCTGAAGGGGTTTATTCTGAGATCACAAACACACACACACACACCTGAAGGGGTTTATTCTGAGATTACAAACACAAACACACACACACACACACACACACACACATCTGAAGGGGTTTATTCTGAGATCACACACACACACACACACACACACACACATCTGAAGGGGTTTATTCTGACATCACACACACACACACACACACACACACATCTGAAGGGGTTTATTCTGAGATCACACACACACACACACACACCCGAAGGGGTTTATTCTGAGATCACAAACACACACACACACACACCTGAAGGGGTTTATTCTGAGATCACACACACACACACACACACCTGAAGGGGTTTATTCTGAGATCACAAACACACACACACACACACACACCTGAAGGGGTTTATTCTGAGATCACAAACACACACACACCTGAAGGGGTTTATTCTGAGATCACAAACACACACACACACACACCTGAAGGGGTTTATTCTGAGATCACACACACACACACACACACACACACACCTGAAGGGGTTTATTCTGAGATCACAAACACACACACACACACACCTGAAGGGGTTTATTCTGAGATCACAAACACACACACACA